AGGTTAGGTTAGGTTTTTTTTATTAGGAAAGATGGATGGTAATCAATTAAGAAACAATGTAATCAGTTTGAAACAATTAAGCTATTTTTTAAAATTTTGTTGTTTCAAATTCCTAACCAATAATATTTGGACATTTGAAAAACAAAACCAATTCCAAGTCAATAATTTTTTATGTCACATCATCTGCCACGTGGCATTGATGTCATGAAACATGCCACGTGGCAAATGATGTGGAATCATAAATTGTTAACTGTACCATTGACTAATGGAAGTTGGTCAACAGTTAATGAAAGGGGCTTATTTGATCCAAAATAAAAGTTCAGGAGCTTATTTGAATGCAATAAAAGGATAAGAGCTAAATTGACTTTCTTGATATAGTTTGGGGGCTTATTTGGGTATTTAGTCATGAAAAAAAGTTTGAATTATTTAAAAAATTCAAATAATAGTTTATTCTTTCACTGCATTCAATCAAGCTTTTATACATTTATTTTGGACACGTGACACTAATGTGAAAGCTAAAACTTATGAATACAAATCTTCTCCCCTTTTTCTACCCCATTTCTAAAATCATGCCACCTTTTTAATATTTTAAAATCTCTCAAAATCCTCAAATGGCCAAGACTAATGTTTCTCTTCTCTATTGACGTTAGTACCCTTTCTTTACAAAACTCCTCCCCTGGGCCTCTGAGAAAGTTTACAAACTTATTCATATGTTTATTACTATATTATTTCTTTTATTTAAAAAATCTTCCTGTTCTTACCTTCACCAAGCATGGAAGCACTTCCAATCCAACACAACATCAAAAATCATTGATGAAAGCTTGGATATTACAAATGTTGAAGAAATAAAAAAAGACATTCAAATTGGTTTGCTCTGCAATCTAGCAAAACTGGGTTTGCATCCCCACGTGGCTACAATGCTTCAAATGCTAAAATATAAAGACATGGAATTGCCTGCACCAACAAAACCTCCATTTTTGGATGAATTTGTAGAATTATCATCATTTATTCCAAGAAAATCTCAAATGCTAAATTCAATTGTTTCATGCATGTATTCAGAGAATTGTAGATGTAGCTAGTCAGCTAAGCAAGCCTGGATATTATAATTCTAAAACTTCATTCTTGTGATCTTAAAGTTCTAAAACTTTCAGCAAACATATGATAAAGAATCCATAACATCTCCTATAGTTTATATGTTACATTTACTTGTTTTCGTTTTTGAAAAGTGATAATTTTATTGGCCAACATTACCTTATGCCATCATCAAGTCTCTCGCATGATCTGCGGGAGACTTTCCATGACACAAAAGAATGGTAAGGGCTTTGAGAAAATGTACAATTACAAAAAATAACTACCGAACAGAAAAAAAGCAACCTCAAGCAACAATCACCTAAACCTAACAGTATAGCACCATAAAAAAAGCCAAGTAACCAATGAGTAGCTACCCAAAACAAAATAAAAGTAAAAAAAACATCCCCTATTCACACAAATCATTTCGAGACAAAAAAAACAAACCAAAAATCCCCATCCATGACTAGGATATCAACCATGATGACAAAACACCAAAAAGCATAAACCTAAAAACATGTCTTATCTGCTAGAAAATAGAAAGTTGGGATCACAAAAGAGTAATCATACCAAAAGAATCTTCCCTTTAGCCAAGAGAGACACCTAAAACAATTCAAAATCTTGATCATTATGTCACACAATGATTGGTTAAAAAGGCTCCCTCCCAGGAAGGCGTCTAGGTACTGTTTGAAATAAAGAGGCTTTTACTATTCATCCAAATACAAAAACCACAAAAAATCCATGCAACAAATCCTCGAAATCAACAACCACAGCAACCCAATCACTACAATCAAGAAATATGCCAAACACGTTGTACAATCATCATTAACAAAGCCAGATCCCAAACAAATGCAACT